AAATAAAGTTAGATTCAACTTAATAATGATTTCACTAAAAGTAAAAAGACATATACTTTTTTGCTCCATGTATGATGACTTGAATTTTTTGGTAAATTTTTTTTTCCAAAATGGATAAATATTGTTAAGTAAGCAAGCAAAATTTATATCATTTTATATATTCATATAGTATAATTCAAATTTTCTGTAAATTTTACGATATGGTTGCATATGGCAATTCACTTAACAAATAAAAAAATATATTTGGCATTCCTAATTTAAATATGTTACACATATATAATAAGTTATTAGTTATCAATGTTTGTTTAATTGTATTTCAAATCTCTACTATTTTATGTCTTCATATAGAATAGTTCATATTTTATTTTATAAAATTTAAAATACAGTTGTATGTGCCAATTTATTTTATTAATGACAAATTTTTTTTATCATTCCTAGTTCTACCTCTACTATATATATTAGTTTTTTTGTTGTAATGAATAGATAACGTTTTCGAGGTAAAATATACATATAATGAAATGTTATTTTTGTCTATACTATTTCATCTTATGTGTTCTATATAGCACCAAATATTCTAAATCAAAATCACATATTCATTTTTAGTAGTTGTTTTTCATTTAAAAATATTTAAATTATATTATATGTATTAAAAAATTTAGGATTTTTTTTTTCTATGAACGTAAGCTTTATTTTATATTTTTAAAAAATCAAAGCCTAGTAAAATGAGAGGGGTATAATTTTTTTAAGAAGAACAAATGCTTCCCTCCTACGATACACCACCTCATTATTTCATATGTCAACTTGCTTTAATAACAAAGGAGGGATAGAATAGGTATTATCTTCTTCACTTAGTTACTGACTTAATTATAGAAATAGGATGTTAAATAACCCGATCCGTTTTTTTTTTTTTTTACATTGAATCAGATTATCATTTCCATAAATGATAATCCTCAATAATCCAATCAATTTCACAAGTCAACAAATAACCAGCGGAAATCAAACTAAACCTTCAAACCAAACAATTTCATTATCAATTTAACCAATCATTCAAAACAGTCAACCAATATTCCAACAAGCTAACCCGTTCTAATCTGAATTACTATC